TCAGTGCAGCAGAAAGAAGAACAAAGAAATAGATGGTGGTACTATTATGTGTGCTAATGAAAAACATCAATTAATCATGTGATTTCAGTCTCTGGAAGGAATTTTGATAGAAACAGAAGCAAGTTCTATATTCAGTTTTTTCTTCCCACCAGACACCGATTACAAGAATTGTAAGGAAAAAAGACAGCATGTACGTGCAGAGCAAAGAGGCTTGCTTGTATAGATGTAGGGAAGAAGATTTAGGCTTGGGGCTGCAAATTTGTGTCTCATTTGCAGTGCTTTATTTCTACAGATTTGTATGATATGCACAGATATTTCTTGTTATTAGAAACAGTTGTTTTATCATCCTCATTCACAGACAGATAAAACAGATCATGGCAAAGGCAAAAAGACGAACAAATCAAATTGAGGCTTTGGTCATAATGTCTATTCCATTTGTATGCAGTCATTGCATATAAAATAAAAAAATATATACTTGAGCTTTTGGGGGAAGAGGGGAACTTATTACTCTTTTTTATTTGCTTCCTTCACTAAACTGCAATCATTACAGTCAGTTAAGGGATCAGCCAAAAGAGAGTTCCTGAAATTGGTTTTTTTAACCACAGATATAACTCTGCTATAGCAGATCATACTAAACTTATTTATATGCACCTGTAAAGAACTATATCTTTATGAACAGCCATAGATTTATGTGCTCTGAAGACTGCCTCGCAAGGTGTTTCCACCAAAACGTTTTGGTTTTGAATGTGGAGTATAACTGATAGGGAGCCGTAAAAGAATATATAGTAATCCTGCATTCTACTTGTTCTGTATTACCATTAGTTTGCACCCAGAGGGTTTTTATTTAACTTATTTCAATGTATCATTTCAAAGATGTGTCAGATGTAATCAGGAGCTAATGAAATTTTATGTGAACCATCTGCTGAATAGTCTTTGATAAAATGTCTTTGTGGGGAAAATTCCTCTTTTATTTCCTATATGTCTTTAGCTTAGCTTTTAAAAAAAGAAAAGAAGAAAGGAGTGATACATAGCCAAAATTATCTTTAAAGGCTTCTGTCTCATTACCCAATAATATGTTACAAAATTCTGCTTGCATCAGAAAGATCCAGTGGGAATAGTAAGTGACCTATTACCTGGACATGTTCATATTGATGTGATAGTATGTTTGTAAAAGAGCAAAACCGCATTTACTTGCCATATCCGCTGAGTTTTCTTGCCTTTGCTATTGTACAACATGCACACAGGTACCTTCTCATATATGTCCCACACACCCAAACCCCTGCATCAGGGAGGTTTTCTGGCTCAGAATAAATTAGATGTCATATGGAAACTTGTGTTTGATTTTAAGACTCAAAGCTAGAGATATTTTCCTAAGAGATTAGAAGTCTTCAAGATGTTTGCTATTTTTCTCCCAAATAATGGTATAAACAACATTTCCACCGTGATGTATGAATATGTAGTAATCTAACTGATGCAGAATAATAACTTCCAAGCCTACTTGTTATTGTTCATGACACTGATCCAAATCAGGGGAGGGGAATGTTTAATCCTTTGCCATCTCACAAAAGCTTCATCCAGATATGTTGTCATCAGGAAAAAATTAAAGGTTTGAGAGCTTGGTTTTGTATATCAAAGAAGAAATGAGCTTTAGTCTATTTTAAATCTCATCATTTGTAAGAGCCCAGTTGGATCTTACCTAGTGCACACTGGATAAGAACCCAAATAGTAGGACATGACAACAATAATCTACTATTATTTCTCAGAGGCTGATACTCAGAATCATACTATCTCTGATTCTGGAGGTAGTAGATAAGGATTGTGACCAATGGAATTAGATTTAGCCTTCATGAATTTGTTTTAGTGTCTGTTTAAGTTAGGGGCCATTGCAAATTCCATAGTTGAAACTTGGCATTGCAAATGCCACAGTTTAACTACAAGTTTCTTCTAAATTCTCCCTGATTTAGCTTCATTGAGTGTTGGAGTTCTAAGAGAGATAAAATTATCTTCCAAGTCTACCCTTTACTTGCATAAAGTCCCAAATTCCTTCAGTAATCAAATACTTGCTAGTGATTTATCAGCAAATGGTCAGTTCAGATATACAAATGGTATAGTTCTTCATACAGCTTTAAAATACATACTGTATAAGGAATCTTTTTTTAAGAAAAAAACACTTGAATGTTAAAAATTCCTCTTCTATTGGTATATAATCATAACTGGTAATTTGAAGAAATCTTTCACTTGAAAGATTTCTCAGAGAGTTAGTAAATTCAATTAAGATCAGATAGGATCATCACAGAGTGGATTTATACCAGCAGTGGGTATTTGTAGCTTCCAGATTTTGCTGAACTACAGCTCACAGCATCCTTCATAATTGGCTATGCTGAGGTTATTGAGAAATACCACTCAACAACTTTTGAAGGATAGCAATTATTGCAAAAGGTGATTATTATGCTGCTACTTTGTTGACTTTTAAATATTTCTAAACACATCAGTCAACCCAAATGCATGCAACATGTTCATGTGAGTTATGTAATGGTACGTCATTATAAGCATAATTTCTTTGAGCTAGCTGAAATAAATTTGTAATATTGACCTCTTCTTAGGCCCTTGAAATGTGTCTATTTTGGGGGGAAATGATTGATTGGTGTGATTTAATTTCTAAAGTTGTATTTAAAACCAAACCTGAAAGTCTGGCATGGATGTGTACTAATTTATAGAGACCCTGTTGGTTGTATGACATGTTACGTTACATTATAGGAAGTATGTTTCTCTGGAGCCCTAGGATTTTATTTTTCTTTCCTATTTTTCTATTTTTTAGTATAAGCTGACTAGAGTCGTTGGGGAGTTGGGTGGCTTCTAAATTTAATAAATATTTATAAGCAAACAATAAATGCCCTTTTTGACACTGGCCTCTATGGAATCAAAAGATCTGTTATTCTCCTTATTCTGGAGATATAAAGTATACTTCACTCATAACAGATATTCTAGGCCCACATATGTTAGAAGCAATGCTGTCTTCTATTAGCCTGGATTTTTAGTAATACTTGCCTTTCTCTCTTACTATTTATCAGATGCCACATGCTAAGAACTCCTCAGCATGCATAAAAAATAACACAGGGAACTAAGGAACTGAATATATGTAATTTTTTAAGAGCCTATTTCATAGAGGACACACCTCTGTCACTCTTTTCCCACACACGTGTGCTTCTCATTCATTTTGTTCCAGATGGGGATTTGGGCTAGTGATTCATTGTTCAGAAAGTTGCTTGATCTTTTGTAACTCTACTTTTGATTGGCTGCAGTAAATCTCAGAAAATCTAACAAGATTTGGACAGCCACTACAGAAACATGGATTTGCCAAAATATCCTCAAGCATTAATTTAGCATAATTTTTCCCATGTGGCCTGCAGCTTGGACCTCTGAATCTGGCGAAGTATCTCCCCCACCCTCACCACTTCCCAGGATTGTGTCTTGCATGCTGATTGTTGCTGGCAGTGACACTTAGTACTTTGTGCAAGTTTTCAGTGTATGACTTCTATGTGTATATCTGGTACACTGCTGTAACCGTGCATGTTTTGGAAAATAAAGCTATCACTGCTTCAATACAGATTCTTGCACAATTCATCATATTTTAGATTATAATATTAGAAATCTGATACTTCTTCTATACTGTGATGTTTTCAATTATTTTGTATTATGTACTGTCATGTTTTATTCAATTAGTCTTTCTTCACAAATAGACTGACGACTGTATCATTTATAGCCTAATTATGAACATTGTTCAGAGTCTACTACCACAGTTCTTGCTAGTTCTTCTTCAGCTTAGAATTAAAGTTCATCATCCTTCCCAGTTAGATAGTAGATATTTCCTTTACAATATTAAATTATGCAAAAGCATTAAAGATGGTGCACAGCTTTCTTTTTGAATGCATATGTTATAAGGTTGATGGCTTAAGAGCTAGGATTATGGTGAGTGCCTAAGATATATGACTTGGTTTCAGTTTCAGAAAGAAAGACATGTTCTTGTAAGCATTAAAGTTTTGTGAATGGAATTCCATTTAGGAAAAATCCCTTGAAAATTCTTCAATACTTCAATCTTTAAAATAACAATCACTGTCTCTCAGCCCAACCCACCTCACAGGGTTGTTATTGTGGGGAAAATAAGAGGCAGGAGCATTACATTGTACATTGCCTTGAGTTGTACAAAATAAAGGTGGGATATAAATATAAAATATTAACAGCTGTTGTTCTTTACCTTGAACAGAATACTGCTGGAAAAAATATAGCACCTCCTAACTCATATCTGTAAAGCAGCTCTTTCCAATTTGCTTTAATGGAATTCTTACTGTATTAGTTTTACCCTAAAACAGATTTTTATGTAAAAGTACAATTTTTTTGGTATCCCTTTTTTAATTGGAGGGGAGGATTCTCCTATTAATAAATAGGCAACTAAGAATTACTGAACACTATCACACACTACAAATTTTGATTCAAGTTGCCATGCCTATTTCTGTTATAACGGTGCCCTCTAAATTTGTTTGACTGACTCTCCCATAACTTCTCCAAACTAAAGTCATCCTAAATGTGAATTTAAAATAATGTATCCCTTTATTTAACAAGTTTTTCTCTCCCTTTTCTATTGAAAAAACAGTAAAAGTGGCTTTGTAGTTCACATATGCATTGTCTTCATGCATGCTTGAATGAAATGACTTATTGGAAATGTTTCATACTCATAACTACATAAGTTTTTATTTAGTGATTGTTGTCTGAGTAAGTATTTTATATGTAATATTATTTCATGAACTAAATTAATTACATATAGATGTTAAAAATTGAATATGTGTGTATATAGATAATTAAAATAGATTGAAGGAATTATAACTGAATGGTTATAATTGAATTGTAAGCATTATTTAATTTCCTAGATAATTATTTATACAATTTATATGCTACTTTCCATTCATAACTGTTTCTTTATATTTGTCGATCTTTTTTTCAAGAGAGCACAATCTGATGAACTGGAAAAGATAGAAAAGCATGGCAAATCAAGTAAAGAAAAGGAGAATGCCAAATCTTTGGACAAACCTGAACAGTAAGGATACTATAAACCGTTTAAGTTGATTGGAGAGAGTCGAATTATTAACTTTTTGGTTCAGGTTCAGCTGCAACAAAAATTGTTCTAATTGAAACAAACAAACAAAAAAATCATTAACCAGTTCAGTACATATAATAACCAGGGGTTCAGTTCCAGTTTGCTTGAGAAAACTGGATTATGATGTACTCAGGCTATTCTAGCAATTTGTACAACAAAGATGTCCTCCTGTTCTCCCATTTCTTCTTTCAGTAGATGAATTTACTACAAGTCCTTTGGTTTGCTTGCTCTTCCCCAGAAAGAACTGTTTGCTCCTTCTTCATGAGAATAGGTTTAATTTGATTCTTATCCCTGCTTTTGCTATTTTTCCATAACCTTGATACTTCCTTTTCTCTTGCACATGCTTTGGATTTACATCTTAATCCCTATTTCAAATGTATTCAACTTAGCTTTGTGTGTGTGTGTGTGTGTGTGTGTGTATATATATATTTATATATATATATATATAGTTACTGCACTACAGATATAGTACTTAATAGACACCAAATATATCTGATGCCACTTTTCTTATAATGTTAATTCATTTCCCAAGCTCCCTGATCATATACTAAAAATAATTGAATTCTCATGTGAGCTTGCTGAAATCTTGCAAGATCTCACATGCCTCACAAGATTTTTGCTGTATCATGGAATATCCCAGGACATTCAGCATTAATTTATATATTCAGGCACACGTGTGTGTATGTGTTTGTATCTATATGTGTCTATGTGTATGCATATGTTTGTGTACTTCCATATTGGCCAGTCAACTATCAGAACGGAGAAGTAAGCATTTGCAACAGTCACTGATGAATGTTCCCATCCTCTTCAAGAAGTATATAAACCTGTATGGACCCCAAGTCTATAAATCCAGCTAGATCATTGGAAGTTATTTTACCTGTTTTTTTTTTTTGCTGATGATGAGCATACCACATTAAGTATCTGAACCCAAATTCTGAGCCCTAGTAACAGGTTAGCACTGTTAGTCATTTTTTAAGATTAAATCTTTTCAAGGGCCTAGTATTTTAATGTATGTTCTCTTTCCCCACTCTCTTCTTTTTCCTCAAGGCAAGTGCTAGACCATTTTTCTGTTGGGATATCAAAGTCCTTATGGGAAATTAAAATGGCAGTCACTGGGCACACATTTGCAAAGCTGTTGTTTTCCCATTGCTTAGCAATGGCTCAGGTGAGGTGGTAAGGTGAAAGAGGCATCTGTATCTGCTGGAAGTCTCATATCAGGAGGAAGACTTGTAGGTGGCTCCAGCAGTTTCATAGCCACTCCCAGGGAAGAAATGGGCCTCCCAGGGAAGAAATGGGTCTCTTGTCTTCTGAACTGCTAAATACCCCCTGCCTGCTATCAGTCCTTGAAGAACTAGTCCCCATTGAGAACAAATTTTCATTATTCATTGGTTAATTGGGTATTGTTTTGGACTATAATACCTATCTTTTGGAAGAAAAATCCCCTGTCAAGTTCTTTTAATAGATCTCAATCATATTTGTCATTAACTTCTCCAGGTTTCTTTATGAGCTCTCCCTGATTCCCAACTTCTCTGAACGAGCCTTTTGTATCCTGTTCCAATCAACATTCTCTGAAAGCATTTCGTCTCTCCGAAGCAAACTTGAATTGTTGCAGAAACTGTGTGAGGTAGGTTCTGGACTATCTGATGAGAGAGCTAGATTGGCTGATATTTAATCTTCCTTATTCAATGATACTCATATTTCAAAAGTTTTATTTACTTTACATGCTCATTAAATGTGAAGGATAGCAGTCCTGCTGAATGGAACATTTTATGATTGTGCTTCAAGATCAAAGCAAATCTTAAGATTTGGCTTTCAGTACTGAAGTATAACATCACAAGTCTATAGCCAATGCACATCAACCTCTAGAGAATAATGTACCTTCTTCCTGTGCCAAAGCAAAATCTTCTCTTTTTGTAACAGGCACTGGTTTCCCTTTAGTATTTCCAAACAAACGCACTATGGCTTTTTCTTTTGGAAGTGCCTTAATTTTTATAATAATATCTAATAATCAGCCCATTGTAATTTTGGTGGCATTAGCAACATCAGCAAACTCTCCCACACTTAGCTATATAACAATTAACCAACTATTAGTTAATATTATATAGGCTATATAATCTTGAAGATATATCTATAACTTCAAGATTCTTCTTCAGCCTCAGCAAGTAATAGTTGTTCTTGACAATGCTGTTTGCAAAGACGATTGTGAAACTATTGTGGAAGAAGGGTGCACAACTGTTTCTGCTTCATCACATCCCCCTTTTTTCAATACTCTCAGCTCCAAATGAGACTTTCATCGCTGCATTTCTCCTTGGGAAAAATCTGCAAGGCATTGACAGATTGCTTAAAAATGTTCAGTTAAAGACATGCTCCTCAGGGGACTGAATAATTCCTCACTCACCAAACTTAGTTGCCTTACTTTTTTCAAAGCTTTCTTTATGCTTGTTTGCAGCCTGTTCTGTTGCAGCTGCTGCTATGCTGGAACCAGTGACCTCCTAGTTAAGGGTTTTTGCTGATGTGATTGCAACCAATCAGAGGTCAATTCATCGATGTAACTTTTTACTGTCATTGTCCCATATAGCCCATGAAGTTTACTTGGAAGCAGTGTGACTGAATTGTCCTCCTCCTGAAATGTGGGGAAATTTTCATGGAAATCCATCTATATGCCCCTCCCCCCAGTTTAATCCACTATTACCAATTTTATGGGAATGGGCATAGTATACAGAGGAGTAATATATTTATTTTGCTGAGGTAATTAAGTCAGTGTTCCCGTTTAATGTACATCCAGTGTGGTGGCCTACCCATTTATTTATTTGTATCCCACTTTTCCCTGAAGGAGGACAAGGAGGGATGCATGGGGCTATCCGATGTTTTATCCTCATAGCATTATCAATAGAGCCATTTGTTCTTTTTTAAGAAGAGTGTACTTTTTGCTCATTAGGCTTTGCATAGCTGTCAAGAATCCTGTGCCTGAAGGAAAGATGGATCTGTGCCCCCTTATTACAAAGCTCTGTAGTTTTTTACATCTGCCAAATCAGGAATATACTTTACAATGTTTAGTTTACATGGTTTCATTTTGCCAGATGCCTCCTTCCATTCAGAAATGTCTGCGCTGATTGTGGGGCTCAGCTGAGGGTTCAGAAGCTTGCATGGTTCTGCCAAGTATTTCAGTGCCAGCATGGCTAACTCATTCTCCTGCAATTGCTGCTTGTCTCTGTTCAGTCATGTTCCACTGTCTGCTTAGTAGCTGTAGGAGGCTGGTTAAGGCAACACTTCCTGCATCTCTTCTGTGGTGGTTTCATATCAAGAATAGTCTCCAGAAGTGATTATTTTATTGGCTCTGGGCCCAGCCTATCATACTAAAGTTGTTCAATATTAATGAAGAACGCTTAGCAGAAAGGGATTTGAGCAAGCTTTGGCAAAAATTGACAAGATGCCTGAATATGTCTTTGTACTTGAACTTGAATATCTCTTACTCTAGATTATAGTTCACCAGTTTTGTTTCTATTCCCTTAAGCAATGATAGAAAAGTCCTTCTCCTGTGGTATGGGGGTGAACTTGTGTCATTACAAATGTTGCTGAACAACAACTCTTGTCCACCCTGTCCAATAGTGGAGTACTTTAGCAACATTTGAATGGTCATAAGCTCCCCAGCCTTGTACCACTGTTCTAATCTTAAAATAAAAACTACATTTAAGTGCCAAGCTCACAGAGCTAATATTCCTGCATCTGTAAATAGCACTGGGGTATTGGATTGAAATGTTCAATAATCTGTGTTCACAAGTTATAAGTTTCTTTGTTTTTTTAAATAATTATTTTATTAGTGGTACATTTCTGATTCCTTACTAATAGGAACATGTAATTATTACTGAAGTTTTAGAATTTTCATTATTTTGGGATCATCCTAATATGAATATGAACTATTTAAAATTAAATTGCATTAAATTGTTTTGATAAGTGCTACTTGTTTATATGCCTTTTATTAAATAAAATGCAATGTTTCTAACATATTGTGTAGTAACTTCTCTGCATCTTGTTTCCCCAGATGTTGAAAAGTGGCTCAGGAGTTATGCGGGTTTTAGGCTTGGTCCTGGCTTTTGGGAATTACATGAATGGTGGAAATAGGACAAGAGGGCAAGCAGATGGCTTTGGACTAGACATACTTCCCAAACTAAAAGATGTCAAGAGTAGTGTAAGTTTGACACACACACCCCCATACCTCAATTGCTATGACATTTCATATTGTGTTGCATTGCTTTATTAAGCATGAATTGCCTGTGCTTATAGTGCTTATAGTTTATATTACATAAAATACTCAATCAGTTCTGTTGTATTCTTTCTAAGCTTATTTTGTTTTATAGTTTTTCTGTTCGAACATTTTTCCAAATTCAGTGCTCATTGCACTTCGAATACCATGAGAGTTTCCCATTGCTGGTGGGATTCCAAATGAATTGTGACTTTTTAAAAGAATTTAAGAATGTTAGTAAGATAAGAATAGTTCACTTAGTCAAACCCTAGATTATTTTAGTTCAGCACTCTGTTTCCAACAGTGGCCAAAAGACCACAATCAAGAAGACACCAATTGCCCCCCCCCCAAAAAAAATACAGAAAGAGAGAGGAAATCTCCAAGTGCACAGATAAAACATGTATTCAGCCTTATAATAACTCTTGGATACTAATGGTGGTAGAAAAATTGACAGGTATTACCCAACTTTCATTCTCAATGTCTATTTACAAACGGGAATTACAGATTTTTGTAGTTTGTAATTCAAAGTCTCACAAAATGTTTGCAGAAAGTATGTGCATTAGAAAAAAAGTATTTAAAAAGTGGGTATACTAGGAGATGTAACAATGAACAGTCAGCTTTGTGCTAATTTTTCTTCCAAATTTGCAAATTGATAGTGAAGTTGGTTAAAATAAGCTTGTGTTCATGAAAATAAACTGAACAAATCCAATACCGACAAATTCATCTATCCCTAAAACCTGTTTCTCACTAGCTCGCTGGGTAACCACTTCTAAAATTCTGATATTTTTCCTATTACTGTAATAATATTGAAAAATTAGCATCTTCAGTGGTTTTAAAACTTTGTAAGTTTTCCATTTAATAATGAATTTATATAACATCTAAGCAATCTTCCCATTGCTTGCTATTTATTTTCCCTTTTTATATTTTAGTAATTTTTTTTTAAAAAAAAATACAAACTGGATAAAGATCATTTGTAACAATCACTATAAAAGAGGGCCTGTGAGTTTCAAAATTTCCTAGAATTTTTGCCTATACTATAGAACTACTATATTGTCTTACAAGTGATAATAAAAATTCCCTATTATCCATTACATACATACATGGAAGGCTTTTGGTTTTGTTCTCTCTTTCATTTTTGGGTTTCATTTGCTTTCTAGTATAATCTAGTCCTCACTTAATGACATTAATTGGGACTGTCAAGTCTGTCGCTAAGCAATGTGGTTGTAAAGCATGACATAATGTGACCATGCCAACTTACAACAGCAGTTCCAGCAGTTCCAGTTGTGGTCGTTAAATGAATCCCGCATGGTGGTTAAGCACAATGTCATATAGTTGCCATTTGCAACCTCCTGCCAGCTTCCCATTGACTTTGCCTGTGACCATTATAATTGCGAGCTTGTTGGCAAATGCCCAAACCACAATCATGTGACTGTAAAGATGTGACAGCAATAGCTATGAGGACCAGTCATTAGTCTCCTCATTCAGCTTCACCGTAACTTTGAACAGTCACTGAATAAGTGGCTGTTAATCCAAATGTATACACATAGAAATTATTCAATCTAAATTTCAATATATTTCATATATAAATGCTGTTTAATTTGACTTTACACAGGACAACAGCAGAAGTCTTCTGTCTTATATTGTCTCATATTATTTGCGTAATTTTGATGAGGTAAGTATGCACTTCCATTTTAACTTTTTTTTCCCTTTTAGGATAGTTTTTTGTTTGTTTCTGTCATTTAATATAAAACCTTTTGGTGAAATCTTGGGGTGGGGGATTCTTGAGGGCACTAAGAATAAGGTGACAAACTTTTTCATACACTCAGAATCTGCTTGGGAGCATTTTTCAACCTCTAAGACAGGTGTATGAGAGCATAAGAGATATGCACTATGAAGGCAAGTTTTAAAAAATGTTCCATTGCATGTTCAGGTGTTTCCTTTCACAATATTGGATTTCATTTCTTACCTTCTGGTTGCTTAAGCATGCAATGAAGGCAATTGATGAATTTGATTGGTGTTTGCTGATGGCTTAGATACTTTTTGAAGTGAAATTTACCCTCAGTAGTATCACTGACTAAAATCTGTCAAAGCAAGCCTTTCAAAATTGACTGGATTGCCACTGAATTGCTATTTCTGACATTTATATGCTACTCAATCAAGAACATTCTCTTTACAGGTTGTACTGTCAGTTAGAAATTGTATTACAGAAATTTGGAAGAGCCAGAAAAACAGAGTTTGAAGGCCCCAGGTTCCCCACCCCTGCATTTTTGATATTTGCTCTTGAATCACTTTGATAATATTGTATATTTAATGAAAGGTGGAGAAGTATAGTTTTTGTCTCAATGTTATCTTATCTATTCAGCCTACTTATTGTTTTGCCAGGATGCTGGAAAAGAACAATGCATCTTCCCACTTCCAGAACCACAGGATCTTTTTCAAGCTTCTCAGCTAAAATTTGAAGAATTCAATAAGGATCTTCGCAAACTTAAAAAAGACTTGAGAGGTAATAGCTTTCTGCTATTCATAGTCATTTTGCCTTTGAGGTAGACAAATGCTTGTAGATACCTCTAATGTGTGCCAGCAAGCCTACAAGAAATGGCAATGAGAAAGTCAAAGATAAGTCATAAACTGGAGAAAATCACTGAGCATCAAATTCTCAAGGAAAGAAATATGTCAGTTCTTAGGCTGCATTTTGAATCATATTTAGAGATTTAGCTGTATATGTCTTAAGAAAGGAAACTGGAGAAAATTCAGTTACAGATTTTAAGTGTATCAATTAGAAAACATAATATTTTTAAATACATGAATATTTTTTCTCAGGGCTTAATATTTGAGAAATCAAATTTCATTTAGAAATTGCTGAAGACTCTTCATAAAATTATCAGTATATTTCTAAAACAGACCTCAGAGACTTGGTAGGCTGCATCCTGTGCAGAATTATCTTGAAGTTAGTTTCATGAAACTCAGAAGGATTTCTATCCATACAGACATTTATACAGTTCTGTTCTTAGATTGCAAAAGAGTCCACATCCATGATCCACCAAGGTTGTTACTTGTTTCTGCAACATATCTGGGAATCCTAGGAAATTGTCCAAGAGTGGAAAGATTTGAAAGTGCTGAGTTCAAATCTCATCTCTGCCACAAATGTTAGTTGCTCTTAGGCAATTTGCTATTGTTCTGTCTAGTGCAGGGCGGAGAAATTCTCCTACAATGTTTTTCCTTTTTATTTTAATTGTGTGGCAAATACAGTGTCCAAATCAGGAAGCTAGGCAGCCAGGCTTGTTTGGGTCAAGCAGTTTTAAACATCCTTTCAAAGAGGGAATGTGATAGCTTTGGGCTTTTTGTGTTAAAATGTAGCCAAAGGATATGTGGAAATGTTCTCTCTTTATTGTAGAATCATCTCTTCAGTGGTGTGCATTCTACTTGATTTCCAATGCCTCGGTTAAACCCCAGGAGAACTTGGGAGGAATTCATCCCACCTTTTTCAATGCTGTTGTCATTTACAGGAGGGGAGGTTACCCTTGAGAAATTGTTGGCGAAATCATCCACCCAGTTCCTCTGCCCACAAGCATAGTGGAGAATTTCGTGTCCTGCTATATATATATATGGAGCTCTCCTGCCAAGAAGGCTGATATAAAATATGCTAACTTTTTCCAGCTGTCAGAATTAATATCTTTGGCTCTAACCACTTCCCCAAACTTTGATTTCCAATATATAGGCAGGCCCTGATTTTCTGGGCCCCCAAGGACTGAAAATAAGACTGATGATTCACAAAGAATTCCAAAAGGATCTCTTCATACTGGATAAACAGGCTTTAAAAATGGCAAATGTACTGCAATTCAGCAAAAGCAAATCCAAAGTGATACATAGTGGAACAAATCAACACTTCAAGTGTTTGTGAGTGTGTGTGTGTGTGTGTGTATACACATACACATTGATAAATACAGTAGTTATTAAAACACAGTAAATATAGTAGTTAAAAACAGTTCTTGCTTTGGGAACTGGATTAAAAAAAATACTGTGATCGGGGTTAGCAGTGACTTATCAGAAAATAGATTTTTGGAATAAGAATGAATAAATGTATGAATATGTGAACACAGTGTGAGGTTGATGTAAAAAAGGTAAATACCATGGTATTAATTATTTGGGAAGATAGTGAAAAAAATAGTGAAGTGGTACCCTTAAATTAATTGGTGGTACAACTATAAAATAATTTACAATAAAATTTTTAATGTATCATTGCAAAAAAGGATATTGGAGATTTTAAAAAGTGTTATGGGCTAAAGAAGCTTCTCACAAGAAAAGATTATAGCTTTGGGGGATATTTATCTGAGAAAGAAGATAGGTAAGGGGAGAACTATTAGAATACAAAATCATACATGGGGTTGAAAATACGGAGAGAGAAAATACTAAAACTCAAGCTTATTGATTGAAGATAAATGCAGGAATGATTAGAGGTATGTTTTTATCCAATACCTATTTAAATTTTTTGATTTTATGGTTTATGATTTTATAGTTATTGGTTTTATTGTTGTGAGCCACCCAGAGTCGTGTTTAAGATAGGCAGCCCTACAAATCAAATCAAATCAATCAATCAATAAATTTCTTGTCCTTGAATTTAGAAATAGCAATCAATTTCAGTGGTTTTATAGGGGAATTAGTTTTGCATGTAGATTTAATTACATGGATTAAAGGACTACTCTTTCTTGGCAGGATTCCATGTCCCCTCTGGCCATGATGCTGAAAAATGGTGTCATTGTTTTCTAATGTTGTGAGTCAGGAAACACATTAAGGACAATCTCCTATAGTTAGAACCTACCTTCTTGACTTAAGAACTGGATGGGACATGGATCCCAAAGCTGTCCTTCTCAATGGTAGCCCCACAGCTTTGGAACACCTTTCCAGCAGAGATACTCCAGGACCCCTTCTTTTAGCTTTCCATAGAGCCATCAAAGCAGTCCTGTTTCAGTGGGCCTTTGGTGACTAATTATTAGCTCTTCACTTAATGTTCAGTTTGGAACAGCAGCCTTTTATTTTTAATGATGCTGTAAGAGAGAGATATTCATATTCACTATGCCTTGGAGTATATACTATTATATAATATGTATATTTGTAAACCACCTGAAACCTTGGGAGCTTGATAATATAAACAAATAGATAAAAGAATGAATTCATGAGATAGCTTTAAAAAACAAGGAATGACCTCTCCCGACCACTCATCTCCCTTTCTTTGTGTCTTTTGGCCTTCTGTGATCTAGAAACAGGCTACTTACCCCGCCTTAAACACCAGTGAGATCCCTAGTGAAAGGGTAGGTGTCTTTCTCAGTTCTTACATTATCATGCAATTTTGCAGGACATGCCTCTCTGTGGTGTGGAACACACACAAGAATAGTATATCAGCACTTCCTGTGCTGATATTAAATAAATGCGTAATAATGAAAAGTTACTAGTAAGGTTTATCATTACAGGGCCAGCCCTACAATTAGTGGTATTGGAAGCCTTGGAGGATAGTGCTATTTCTGCCACGCAGCTGGCACTCCCTCCTCTAATGTAGTGTTCTGAGAGACATGGGAGATTATGATCACCAAGGCTGAAATGTAACAGTCAGATCACTTTGTTGTATGCGCAATGAAGGCATGGCGCTTTGCACTTCACTGGAATGTTTGAACTGCAGTTATGCTCCTGGAGATAAGATAGAAGCCAGACCAAAAAGAAGGGTAACACAACTTCATAAGTCACAAGATAGCTTCAGGCTCACACTAGAAAGGAATGAGACAGTATTGACCCTATTCACCCAAGAGTAAGAGTTTTTGTTGGGAGCATAAAGTATATGATTATTGAGCCACTAGTAAAAAAAAAGCAAATGACAAATGGGATAATGACATTAATAAATGAAGTCTGTCTAGGGAATGATTTCCAGGATGTTTAGTTTAGTTTAGTTTAGTTTAGTTTAGTTTAGTTTAGTTTAGTTTAGTTTAGTTTAGTTTAGTTTAGTTTAGTTTAAAAACTTGTACAGTATAGCTGCCCATCTCACAAAGGTGACTCTGGGTGGTATACAGAGATTAAAACCAAACAATGACATACTTCATAAAATCCATAAGCAACCCATACTATATTGTATTCTTGGGGTCAAAAAAACCATTCCCCTTCAAGTCACTAAAATAAAACAATTAGACAACAGGGCTTGCCTTCCCTCCCAGCCCAAATTCTTATAGGAATATCCAGGTCTTTAGCACCTTGCAAAAGGCCAGTAGAGTTGGGGCCAGCGGGATCCCTCAGGGAATGCTATATCACAGGACAGGTACAGCATCAAAGAAGGCAGGACTGCTAGGGACCACAAGATGACACTACTGAAAGTAGATGCGACGAGGAGTGTTGGTATATATGCCTGCTAGGTATAAAGCATTTACTTCTGCCCTCCCAAAATTAAATACATACATGGGTAAAACACAGATATCTTCATGGGAAGTTTCTTCCTGTACCTGAATGTTTCAATAACCTGTGTCAAAAAAAGAGGAACCACTTAATTCTAGTAACTGGTAGTATAACTTGCTACATCTCATGGTCATACTGCTCTGTGGGAAACCAAACAAACATAAACTATTTTTGAAATTACAATATTTATTTTATGGTATACAGTATAATCAGGGTGATAACTTTCAGTGCACATAGGGCTAAAAAAGATAATTAAACTGAATTTCCTTAAAGGGAAGAATCATTTTTGCATTATTTTTAAAATAGTAACTGCACAGATTCCACATTTTATCTGTTTGCTTGTTTTATGAGAAGTATGTATTGGACTTTGTTAATTCAGGAGGAAAAAGACTTCAGGAATATTAAATTTAAAAAGGCATAATTTTAGATTTTTTCAGCATGTTGGGGGCTTTCTTGTAGTTTAAAGCATGAGTTTTTTTGTAGTTGAAGTAACAATTTATATAATATTTCACCAGCCATCCTGCTCAGCTGCCACCAGTTTCTTTTCCATTTGTTTTAAAGCTTTATGTGGCTGGACATTAATCTGTTATGTACCAGACATTCTAATAAACAAAGGGTCTGAGACAGCTCAGGATTTTATTAATATATCTACCAGTTTGGCTCCATTAATTGCCCTACAATTTCACAGCTCTCCAGGATCCTCAGTTGAGCCTTTCTCAGTTCGGTGACATACAGTTTGTTAAGCAACCTGATCTGCTTTTGATCTCTCCTGGCTGTCACCAGACTTTCTTGATCTAGTTGTGTCAAGTTATGACTTTCAGTAATTCACTCATTCCACACTCAAAATGTTAGTACTTGCTACAAGATTTAAATCACCTTGCTGTCTTAAAGAGAATTGGGTAGCTGGGTCCACTGAAACAATGCAGGAATATTTTACATGTAATATTTATATCAATCTCTGCAAAGCCTCATCCATCCCACCACATACACATACATACTCACGCACATTTTAGAACAAACTGAAAATAGGGCTTTAATGTGTACGATTTCAAGAGACTTCAGTTCTAG